AGCCATGCATCGGAGAAGCCCTGGGTTTGCCACAGCCCCACGCCTCCTAGCCAGCTCTCTCGGGCAGCAGCGTCCCCATCCCTTCCCTCCCTGCAGAGCAGCTGCTGCTCCTTGGGTGGGCGGAGCCTGTGGTGCCCCTGGAGCTGCCTGTTGCTGTTTTTTCCTCCCTACCAGAGTTCCCTATCCTAGCAGTGTGCCTTTAGCCCTTGGATTATTTGACATTCCTGCTCAGATGCTCTGGGTTGGAGGGTCCTGGGGATGGTGGGTAGGTTCCAGTCTATGTCCTCGCCTCTGGCCTCCTGGCTCCCATAACATATCTGCCCCCAGAGCAAAGGAGGGGACGCCCTGGGGCTTTTTCTTTGCAGAGCACAGCCCAGCCCAGGAGGTTTGAGCTGAGGGAGAGGCAGGACGCCCTGGAGCCTGTGAACCAGCTGCAGGTGAGGTGGTGGGGCTCAGATCCCTGACCCCACTAGCAGGGAGGGAGTATGCCTGAGGCCCCACCACCCATGTCTTCACTGCTACCTGCCGAGGCCCTTCCACCCTTGGGTCCTGGATTCCACGTGGCCTGGCATCCACGTAGCTGTCATTGCCCTCAGTGCTGGCCTTGGGGGAAGGGCGTGTGTCCCCCACTCTCTCCAAACCTACTTGTTCTCTGTGCTTAGGAGACCCCAGACCCCTGGCAGAGCCTGGACCCCTTCAGTTCCCTGGACTCGAAGCCCTTCAAGAAAGGTAATTGGAGCCGGGACCGGTTTGGCTCAATGGATAGAGCGTCGGCTTGGGGACTGAAAGATCCCGGGTTCGACTCCGGTCAAGGGCATGTACCTTGGTTGCGGGCACATCCCCAGTGGGGGTGTGCAAGAGGCAGCTGATCGATGACTCTCTCTCATCGATGTTTCTAGCTCTCTATCTCTCTCCCTTCCTCTCTGTATAAAATCAATAAAATATATATTTAAAAAAAAAAAAAAAAAGGTAATTGGGTAGAGGGACAGCACGGGTGGTGAGTGGGGTGTGCCCTATACCCATGGGGAGCCTGCTGGGGCTGTGCTCCCTCATGTGATGGTTCCCAGGGGGTGTGGGCACTGGGATTTTCCCCGGGGCCTGCAGTGGTACCCGAGACACAGTCCGTTTGCCCCCCAGGCAGACCCTACTCTGTGCCTGCCTGTGTGGAGGAGGTTCCGGGACAGAAGCGCAAGAGGAAGGGTGCCACCAAGCTGCAGGACTTCCACCAGTGGTACCTGGCCACCTGTGAGTGGGTGTGTGGGCCTGGGCCAGGCCAGGGCAAGAGGGTGCAAGGGGGGTAGGAAAGGACTTGATCTGGCTCCTGACGACCCAGTTCTCTGGCAGATGCTGACCATGCTGACAGCAGGAGGCTCCGGAAAAAGGGCCCATCCTTTGCAGGTGCGACGGCCCAGGGTGCTCCTCTGAGGGATAATGCTCTGCCCTCCTCCTCTCCATCTGGGGATGCCCAAGGCCTGGGTGGACCGGGGTGGTCTAGGCAGGATGCGGGCACCCTCTCACAAGGCTTTTGTGTGTAGACATGGAGGTCCTGTACTGGAAACATGTGAGGGAGCAGCTGGAGACCCTCCGGAAACTGCAGAGGAGGGAGGCAAGTACCGGCCACTGGCCTCCCGGCCCCGGGTGGGGGGAGGCAGCAGCGGCTCACACATTCTCTGCACAGGCAGCTAAGCGGTGGCTGCCGAGGCCCGAGGAGGAGCTGTGGCCTGTGGAGGAGGACCGCCTGGAAGACTCCCTGGAGGAGCTGGGGGAAGCAGGTGGGTGCTCACAGGGTGGTGGGAAGAAGGGGGCTCAGGACTGGTTGCCTGCTCACCTACCTGTTCCACCCCACCTCCCAGCAGATGACTTTCTAGAGCCCGAAGGATACGCAGAGCCTGACAGGGCAAAGCCTGAGGACGCTGCAGACCTGGGTAGGTCTAGGGCGGGTGCTGGCCAGGTCCTCGTGAGGCTGCCCAAGGATGGGAGAGGGGGAGGGAGGGTGTGGCCTACACCTCCTGCTGCCCTCCTCCTCCAGAAGCAGAGGCCATGCCGGCATCCCTGAGCTACGAGGAGCTGGTCCGGAAGAATGTGGTAGGCCCTGGTTGGGGGGAAGCAGGGGCTGGGTGATGCCCTGACAGAGGCAGCAGCTCCCGTCCTCCCTAGGAACTCTTCATCGCCACGTCTCAGAAGTTCGTCCAGGAGACGGAGCTGAGCCAGCGGGTCAGGGACTGGGAGAACAGCATCCAGCCCCTGCTCCAGGAGCAGGTGAGGGGACGGGGCCAGCTTCTGCTCGGGCACAGAGCCCCGATGCTGCAGGGTTTGACCAGGATTTTGCTCTCCCTCTTGCAGGAGCAGCACGTGCCCTTTGACATCCACCTTTATGGGGACCAGATGGTCTCAAGGTTCAGTCAGCTCAACCAGTGGTGTCCCTTCGCGAAGCTGGTGGCGGGCCAGCCTGCCTTCGAGGTGTGCCGCGCCATGCTGGCCTCCCTGCAACTGGTGAGTGGCCCTGGGCCTGGGCGGGAAGTGGTCCCCGGCTCTGCTGACTCCCTGTCCTTACAGGCCAATGACCACACGGTAGAGATCACCCAGCAGTCCGGGCTGGAGGCGGCTGTGGACACCATGTCCCTAAGATTGCTCACGCACCAGCGGGCCCACAAGCGCTTCCAGACCTACACCGCCCCCTCCATGGCTCAGCCCTGAGTGGGCAGCCCTGTCCCCCACGATGTTGGGCACACATCTGCTCACTTCACACTTGCTTCCTGGCTGGCCCAGCCTAATAAAGTGGTGTTGCCACCCCACCCACCCCTTTACAAGGCTCCTGTGTAGAGCACCCAGCCGACATCCAGGTGCTGGGCCCCTCCTCCGTGCCTTCCAGGCAGCTAGTACACTCAGGCACACACGCACTCCGCCACAGCCTTTAATGGCGCTCAGGGCAGGACGCTGCGGAAGACAGCCATGTGGCGCCGCACACTGTCTGCGATCTGCTCGGCCGACCTGGCCCGGCCGTAGTAGTCTGTGAAGAGGCCGTCGGGGTTGAGCAGGTAGATGGCAATGGAGTGGTCCACGATGTAGTCCTGGTCCTCGTCCTTGGGGCCGGCACTGTAGTACACTCGGTAGCTGCGGGTGACCTGGGCGACCTGCTCGGCAGAGCCGGTCAGGCCCAGGAGCCGCGGATGGAAGTCCTGCACGTAGCGGGCCATGGCGGCAACATTGTCCCGCGCGGGGTCCACCGTGACGAAGATGGGCTGCACCGGGGGCAGGTTGGGCTGGGCCTCCAGCTGCCGCACCACCTGCACCAGCTTCTCCAGTTCGTCGGGGCAGATGTCGGGACAGTGAGTGAAGCCAAAGTACATCAGCACCCACTGGCCTCGGAAGTCGGCTTTGCAGCGAGCCTGGCCCTGGTGGTCCAGCAGGCTGAAGTCTCCCTGGCCCACAGAGGCCTGGCGCAGGGCCTCTGTCCGCCGCCGCTGCTGCTCCCGCTCCTTCTCAGCCCTCAAGGCCAGCCAGACCCCACCCAGCCCCGCCCCAAATAAGGCCGTGACCAGCAGCCTGGTTCGCAGCCCAGGGCCCCGGGGCTGGCCCTGCCTGCCTGTCTCTGCAGGGCCCTGTCCTGACGAGAGCCGGCACCTCACTTGGAGGACCTCACCTCCAGGAGTCCTCAGGAGGGCGGAGGCCTTGAGCTGGGAGAGCCCGCGTTGAGCCTTGGGTCGCTGAGCCAGCAGCAGCAGCACAGGCCTGATGCTCCTGGAAGAGGGCAAACATGTCAGCAGATGGAAGGTGCCTTGGCCTCCTGGGTCATCTCCCATCACTGGGAAACAGGCCTCCACCTGAAGGACCAACCCTACACTTAGCCTCAAGCTATCCCAAATGGCCACTCCGGGCTCTGCTGAGCTCAGAGTCGTCTCCCCTCTGAAGCTGAGAGCTCCAGCTTAGGAATTAGAAGTGCAGCCTGTCTCTGCTGTCCTTTAGGCCAGTGCCTCATTCTGCCTCCACCCGCCCTGGCCCGGGCCCGCAGCTTCAGACAGCCTGGCACTCACCTGTGCTTCAGCATCTGAGCCGCCTGAAATCCCAAGTGCCGGCCTGCCTGGGTTCCTGAGCACGTGGACCTCTTTGCAATGAAATGAGCCCCTTTTCAGAAAGGAGGCTGGTGAGTGGCTTCATCCCTCAACGACAGACTGACCTTTCCCGGCCGGTTAGCTTTCCCCACCAATAGCAGAAAACGGGTCTCACTCTGCCCTCCCGCACGGAGAAACAAGGTTCCCACCGGCCACAAGTCGCATCCTTCACACCCGGGTTTCCCACAACTCTGGTGGCGCATGGCCCAGCCCTGCCGTCGCTTCGGGGACCGTGCCTTTCTGGAGGGGTATAGGTGGGGGTCTGAGGGGCCTCCACCCTCCTCCCACGATTCCTGGGCGTGGGCTCCGGGCTGGGTGACCTTGGGCACGTCCCTCAACCTCTCTGTACCCGCCTCCTTTGCAAAATGGGCTCAGCGCTGCCGAGATGTGCCTGACCGGCGAAGGCCCCTGCGGAGACTCCCTGAGCCCCTCTGTGCGCCCCCTCCAGGGCGCCCTCCAGACGCACGCCAAGCTGGACCCCCGCCGCAGGCCGCGCGCCGAGCCTACCCCAGGCGCCTGCCCGCCCCTCCGAACCTCGCACCCAGGGCTTCCGGGGGACCGCACCTCGGGTGGTCGCGCGTCGGGATGTCGGACGCTCAGCCTCCCCCCCCCCAAGGTCCGTGGCCGGTGGCGCCTCGCCCGGTCGCTACGCTCGACTCCAGTGCGCACGCGCCAACGCAGCCGCGCAGCCGCGTCCTGATGGCGGCCGGAAGTGCGCGCGGGAAGTGGCGGGGCCGTCAAAGGTCACGTGCCGAGCGGGGCGGTGCTTCCCGAGTCCCGCCCTCGCACATGAGGCCACGCCTCCCTCAGGGTCCTCCCCGGCCCTGCCCGCCCGCCCGCTGCCGTCCGCGGCGAACCAGGCACGGACACGGCTTTGCGGCTCCGGCTTTATTGCTGCGCGTCGGTCGGCGGCAGGATGAGCTCAGAGAAGGGCGAGGGGGCGGCGAAGGGCTCGCGGTCCGAGAGCACGAGCGCCCCCTGCAGGGCTCGCCGCTGCGGGTCGCTGAGCGCGGGAGCGTCCAGGTGCACGCGGAGCCAGGGTGACCCTGCGGGCGGCGGGCGGGCGGTTAGCCGGCGGGGCGGCTGCGGGGTGAGGAGGGGCGGGGATCCGCGCTCACCGCGTCGCAGCCTCTGGCCCACGTCAACCAGCAGCTCCGCGCCAACCCCGAACCGGAGCGGCTCCCCGGCGCAGCTGCGCCCGGCCCCCAGCTCGTGCAGGACGCGCGCCAGCGGCAGCGCCCGGACCAGTTCCACGGTGCCTGCGGGAAGGGAGTGCTGGGCGGGTGGGGCGCGGGGGGCAGGCAGGGCTCAGGAAGGGCAGGGAGCTGGGGGAGGAGGGCCTGCGGGAGCTCACCGTCCGCGGGCGCGAGCAGTTCCTCTTGCTCCCGGGCGCGGGGCAGTAGCTGCCGGCGCTGCGCGGGGGTCCCGGAGCAGAGGGCGCGGGCCAGGCCCGGGTCCACACCCTGCGTCGCGAGCATCCGCTCGAAACGGTCCCGGGCCGAGCCGTCGTCCAGCGCCGCGGCCACCCGGGCTGCGCCCTCAGCCTGGTCCTCCGCCTGCCCGTTGAGCCAGAGCAGGGCGCCCCCTGCCGGCGTGGGTCCGGGGTTTAGGTGCAGCGGAGGCGATTCTGTAGCTCCGACCCCCACACCTCTTACGGGTCCACTCACCGAGCCTGATGACCACGTCCCGCAGGTCTGGGGGCCCCGCGCCGTCCATGCAAAGCAGCGCCTCCTCCACCTCCAGGGTGTGGCCCACGCTGCGGCCCAGGGGATGGTCCATGGCTGTCAGAGCCGCTGCAACCCGGAGCCCCAGGCCTGCCCCTACACCAACCTTCGGAGACACGGTTCAGTGTGGCCCCTGCCCTGTGGGGCCGCTTGTAATCAAACTCCAGCCGGTGCTGCACGCCTGGGTGCCAGTTCCCCAGGAGTGAGGGGGCCCCAGAAGGGTTTGGGTGTGGAGTAGGGGGAGCAGGGAAGCAGGCGATGTGCCTGACTTCAGAGGTGGGGTCAGAAAGACCTTGTCCCGGGGCCATGTCAGCCTTGCTTGGGTAAGGTTGCTGAGAAGGGGGTGAAGGCAGAACTGGGAGTGGGGTGCTGGCAGGGACCTTGGTGATGCGGCTGCCGAGTGGCTGTGCTGAAGCACACAGGGAGCGCCTGCTGGGTAATGAAGGGGAGGCCGGCTGACGGGGCAACCTTCCCCAGCCCAGGCTCCTTGGGCACGGCTGCTCACCAGTGCCCTTGCCAGCTCCCGGGCCTCCGCCTGGCCTGGAAAGACGGCGGCCCCTCCGAACTTGACGTCCACCACCAGTGCAGACAGCCTTTCCACCACCTTCTTGCTGAGGATGGAGGCTGAGAGGGAGGCAGAGGGGCTGTGGGTACGGGAGAGCTGGCGCTTCCTGAGATGCAGGGCCTCCTGCCTCTCAGGTCAGGCATAAGGAGTCAGGGACTCTGAACATTGAGGGTCAAGTCCCTTAGGATGGGAGTCACAGGGCCTGGACCGTTGTGCTTAAGCCAGGTCTCCCCTCTTGAGTGGTGAGGGAATGCCTACCCTGGGGTTGGGGGAGGTCCCACAGCCCCCTTATGAGAGGACCCTTTACCGGTCCATCAGAAATCAGGGACACTTAACATGCAGAAGGTGGGCCCTGGAGTGTGGGGTCAGGTCACCTGTGATGAGTGGCAGGCTGTCAACAGTTGCTGTCACATCTCTGGCTTCATACAGGATTCCATCCGCAGGAACCAGCTCCTTGCTCTGACCCACAATGCAGCAGCCCACTTTCTCCAGCAGACCTTGCATCTGGCCAGATCCCCTTACGTCAGGACTCCCAGTGACTGTCAGTGACCCCTGGTCAGTGACCACATCACTAACCCTGATCAAGCAACTCACCAGCAACCTTGACAAATGTCCAAAACCATGACTAGTACCTTAGGAACACTTCTGATAAGTCCTCAACCCTTCAGTGACATTGACCAATGTCCTATGGCCCATCAGTGATTTTTACCAAGTCCCTATTGATGGCTCCAACCAAAATTCCATTGGTAACTTTGACAAAAGCCCAATGACCATCAAAGATTCATGAATAACTTTATGAACATCCTCATTAGTGACCCTAACTAATAACAACCCATCAGTGATCCTTCAGCAATTCTAGTTAATGTTCCCATCAATAATCCAGGTCAGTGGCCTCCATGTACCTGTTCTGGGCTCTGGATGACGGTGAATCCAGGAATCGACTCTAACTTATCCAAGGTGCCCCCTGTGTGCCCCAAGCCGCGTCCACTGATCATAGGAACCTGTTGGACACGGACCCTGAGTGCCCTGCACGGCCACCCTCCACCTCTCCCTCGCCTTCCCTGGCTGGGACTTCAGCTGCAGTTAGATGTGGTAGTGGGTGTCCACTGGTGGAGTGGGAATGGGGGAGAGATTGTCCTGGTTTTGGGGAGGCACTGGGGAAGGACGTTAGAATCTGCCAAGGGAGGAGGATCCAGCTTCTCCCTTGGGAGTCCTTTCTCGGGTACTGAAGAGGAAGGGGTGCTAGGTAGCTTGGCCCTGTTATGGGGGCTGCTGGGAATGGGGAATGGGGGGAAAGAAGCTTGGGAGCTGCCTGCCTCTCTAAGGTCTGAGTTTCCCGTCTGGAGAGGCGGCATCTCACCTTGCAGCCACAGGCAGCCAGGGCAGGGGCCAGGACCAGGCTGACCTTGTCACCCACTCCTCCTGTGGAATGTTTGTCCACGAGCTGCTGATGCCAGGCCGCTGGCCACTCCAGTTGCTGCCCAGAGTTGGCTAGGGCCTGGGTCAGTGCCACAGTCTCCTCCAGATCCATGCCTTGCAGTCGGATGGCCATGAGCATGGCCCCTAAGCATGGGGTACAGTGATGTGGGCAGCATGAGGGGTGCTCTCACAGGGATGGGTTAGCCTGGGCCCAGGGATGTGGTGGGGTGCCGGGGCGTGCCGAGGAGTGCCCAAGAGGCCCACACACCTATCTGTGCGCCCTGGGCGCTCCCGGCCACCACGGCGCCCACGAAGCTCCGAATGTCCTGTTTGCTCAGGCGACCTCCGTCTCGCTTCAGGCGGATCAGATCTGGGAGCGGCTTGGGCTCTGCCGGTGGGTCAGGAGGGCGCTGGGGCCCTCCGGGCCAGAGGTCACCCACTGGGGTTACCGGGGTCGCCATTGCTCCGGGCCTGCGGCTGGGGGACACACAGGGGACCTGCCCCGCCCATGTTCATCCGTGCAGCCCTGTGCGCTGACCCCACCCGTTCCTTCCTCCGGTCCGCGGCTCTCCCCCACCCCGCCGCCTTGTGTTGCCCACGTGCGTGTCTCTGGGGCCAGCTCCCCCTTCTCAGCTTTAGAACGGGACCCCAGCTCCTACCTGTCCGGACAGCGGCCCCACCTTTCCTGCTTCGAGTTCCAGGCGGCTTCCGCCCGGTCCCGCCCGGTCCCGCCCGGTCCCGCCCGGACCATAGTGCGCCCGGGAGGGCAGGTCCCCTGGGGCGGGGCGGACCTGGGTCAGTGGCTGCCCTGGGGCGGCAGGTGGGCGGGCCTCACAGACAGGGCTCTGGGCCAATGGCCGCCTGGAGGAGGCGGGATGATGTGTTTTTTAAAAAATCATTTACTACGTATTTGTGTGTTTAAATCCTCACATGATATGTTTTGCATTGCTTCTCAGAGAGGGAAGGAAGGGGGGGACACACACACTGGCTGCCTCTCCTTTCCTGGGTGGAGAGAATCCGGCAACTCTGGGACCTGCCCTGGATCAGAATCTGACCCGCGACCCCCGACCTGGAGCGCAAGCCCACGCGCTAACCACTGAGAACACAGGCCAGGGCGATTTTTAAATTTTATTCTCACTGGAGGGTTTTTAAGGAGAATTTTAGGAAAAGATTAACAGAAAGTTACTTTACTTATTGATGCACTCATTGGTTGACTCTCAGTGCGGACCGAAAGAGGAAGCTGGGCGCCGGGGAGGATGCTCTAACCGCAAAAAAGAGGCGCGGCTTTTTTCTTGTTCCGGCCAATCAGGCCGCTCGGACTGAGACTTCCCGGACTCGCAGGGCCTCCGTTCAGAGTCCGCCCCGCCCCGCGCCCCCCTCTCCCTCCGCCCTGCCCCTGCCCCCCGCCCCCCCGCTCCCCCATCTCTCCCCTCCCCGCCCCCCGCGCTTCTCGGGGCCCAGCGCCCGGAGAGACGGGCAAAGACACCGGCTGTTCCCGAGGCTTTAAGCAAAGGTCTGTGGGGCCGCGCACGCCGGCACATCAGTCATCCACTTCGGCCAAGATCTGGGCCTCGTAGTCCGAGTGCCGGATCCCGAAGCTCCAGCCGCCGGCCTTCCGGGACTGGGGGCCCAGGAGACGCCGCTGACCTCGCAGGCCGGCCCTGCGGCTCCGCACCCGGGTCCCTGCCCTATCTGCCCTTCACCCCCTCCTGCCCCGGGCTCAGACCCTCCATCCGGGACCCGGGCTCTCACGTCCCCGGACCTGACCCTTGGCCTCTGTCCCCCAGGTCACCTGGTCCACATTGTAGGCTGCGGGTCCGGGGTTCTGGCTGTGGTCTTGGGGGAGCATGGTCCGCGGCTGCATCGAGAACTGGGGGGCCCGAGACTTGTAGATGCCGGGGTTCACCACGGGGTAGGTGCCGGGGCCTGGGGTCTGCGGAGGGGCGCTGGGCTCGGCTCCATTCCGTGGTCCCCGGCCCGCCCCGGCTCCCTCCCCGCGCGGAGCCCGGCCTTACCTTGCTCAGGTCCTCGAAGAAGCTGCCCACCGCGCTGCGGCCGTAGATGGAGTAGGTTGGGGCTGAGACCTTTCCGATGACTCGCGGGCCCAGGACCGAGGGCACGGTGTAGGCGGCGGGGCCTGGGAGGCACGGGCAGGGGTGGGGTGAGCAGGGCAGCCGCAGGGTCGGCGGTGCGGGAACGGGCGGGGTCTCTCACCTGGGGTGTCGTGCTCCACCTGGACGCCCCAGTTCCGGGGCGCGATGGTGTGCCGGGGCGCGCTGGGGTAGGCGGCGTTGCCCGCTCGCTCCGGGAAGTACCTGCCTGCGGGGCGACCGGAGTGAAGGCGGAGCCCGGCCGGGGCCCGGGTTGGGGGGAACCGCGCCGTCTAAACCCGCGGGGCTCGGAGTTCTGTGAGGTCCGATTCGGAGCCCCGGCCTTGGAGTGGTAGGGTCCCTCCCCGGGGTCGGGCTTGGGCGGGTTCGGGGTGCAGCTCGGCCCGGGCGCCGGGGGCCCAGGGTCCTGACCGGGTCCGGGGGTGACGCTGGGCGCGGCGAGGCGCTGGCGGCCGTGGATGGAGAAGGCGGGGGAGCAGTCCGGGCCGCGCACCGTCATGCGCGCCGGCACCAGGTAGCCGGGCCCGGGGCCGCACGACTCCAGCTGCTTGGGGAGGCGCAGGCCGAAGGAGAAGGCGGGGGCGCGGGCCCGCGAGGGGTCGTGCAGCAGGTAACCTGCGGGCGTCCAGCGTCACCGGTCCGGCCGCTCTCGCCGGGCACAGGCGCCCCCGCCCTGACCTCCCGCCTCCAGCCCAGGGCACGGCACCCGCTCCCGGCACAGACTCGCCAGCCCTTCCTCCCGCCCCGCCCGCGCAGCCCCACGAGCCGGTACCCGTGTTGGAGGGCAGGTTGTATTTGGGCCCCGGGCTGCGGTAGAGCGCCGCGATGGGGCCGCGGGGCCGGTGCGGTCGCCAGGGACCGACCCAGAGGTCTGAGCCCATGGCGCGGTGGTTGGTCTACGGCCCGCAGCACCTGCGGACAGAAGGTGGGGGTCCGGCCCCTCCTCCCCAACCTCTTCCCTGCAGCTCCAGGGCGAGCCAGGCGGGGCTCCACCCATCTCCCAGGCGCCAGGAAAACGCGGTGCTTTCCCAGCTCTGTGTGTGTGTGTGTGTGTGTGTGTGTGTGTGTGTGTGTGTGTGTGTGTGTGTGTTGGGGGGGGGGCGGAGGGGGGGAGGGGCTATCTCAGCGCTGTGGGGGGCGCAGGGCAGGGACCCAGCTTCGCGGCCTTCTCCCACCCCCCACCCCCAAACTGGGTGAGCTGGGGTGCCGGCGCCAAGTTTGGACTCAGCACCGCCGGGAGGGAATCCCCCGGTTCTGGGGGGCTGGGGTATGTTGAGGGCATCTGGTGAAGACTCCACAGCAGGGCTGCGGCACTGAGACCGGGTGGGGTGTCTGGAGTGGGGCCAGAAAGTTGATGCACTAACCTGCTCCTGTGGCTACCGGCTGGGAAGGCAAGTGGGGTGACGGGCCCAACTCTCAGACCCCATTGTGTCCCGATGCTGCCGCCTGGCAACCCAACTGTCGGCCCCGCCCTCTCCTCCTTGGAGCCTGGTGTTGGCCGCGGACCAGTACTCCAGCCTTAGGCTTTCTCAGACTTCGCACACCCATTCCAGGAATGGACGGATGTTCAGATGAAAAGCAGGTATGAGGACAAAAAATTGTAATACAATCAGCAGGCTCAGTTGATTATTATGTGGAGAGAGAGAGCGTTGCATCTATTTAAGCCCACAGAGTACAGTATTTGCAAAATATCGTTGTGTGCCAGGCCACTCAAACGTACACACACCCATGCAGACGAAGAGGTGAACTAGGACAGATGACTCGATCGTAATCCAAAGCAATTCTAAACAAACAGTAAAATGTTTAAAAAGCAAGCAAACCTAAATAGTTAGAAATTAGAAAATTACCTCTTAAAAAACCCTGAATCAAAGAAAAACTCAAATACGAAGTTTCAAAGTATATATAAAACTGCAAAGGTACATGCCTTCACACCCAGCTCTATAGGACATAGCTAAAGCTGTGTTCAGAGAGAAACAAAGTCTTCCTTGATTTCATTATAATGAAGAAAAAATTTTAATAAACAACATCTTACAAATATTAGGAAAAAGAGCAGTCAAGTGCACTGCTCCTCAGACCAGAAGTACGGGTCTGTCTTGCCAAGCATGGCACTCCCACCAGCTCCGAGAGGAGAAAGGGGCAGGGAGGAGTGTCCCGTGGTCTGGAGGGAATTTCTGGTCAAATGAGTGCTGAGCCCAGAGAGCCAGCCCAGGAGTGAGAACAAGATGGACTGTGGGACGGCCAGCTGCACCTTGCTCCCCAGCTCAGGGCAGCCTGGAAATGCAGGAAATTCACACTCCATGGGGGAGACCTTTAAAAAATATATTTATTGCTGAAGCCAGTTTGGCGCAGTGATAGAGCGTCGGTCTGCGGACTGAGGGGTCCCAGGTTCGATTCCGGTCAGGGGCAAGTGCATTGGTTGCAGGCACATCCCCGGTGGGGTGTGTGTGTGTGTGTGTGTGCAAGAGGCAGCTGGCTGATGTTTCTCATCGATGTTTCTAGCTCTCTGTCTCTCTCCCTTCCTCTCTGTTAAAAATCAATAAAATATATTTAAAATATATATATATTTATTTATGAGAGAGAAGCATTGATTTACTGTTTCACTTATGCATGCATTCATTGGTGTATACATGGTTGCTTCTTGTTTGTGCCCTGACGGGAGAGTGAACCATGGCATATTGGGGCACTGCTCTCTAACCATCTGAGCTACCTGGCCAGGGCCAAGGGGAAGAGCTTTGATTGGATTAACTCTTCCCCTGAAGGACAATACTGAGAAATGATGAATTTATTTGGCTCTTGGAGGCTGATCCCTTGAGAAGTCAGCACGCTCAGTACCCAGTGGTGGCTTCCTCCCTACCCTGCTCCCTGGGGTCACACCTTCATAAAGCAGCGCTCAGTTTCTGCCTCAGCTTGGCTTTCCTAGGAACCCAGGCTTAGTCCATTTACTTTTCAGTCTTTTTTTTAATTTTAAGGACATTTAAAACTATGGTCATGAATCCTCGCTGTTTGGCTCAATGGATAGAGGGAACTGAAGGCTCCGGGTTTGATTCCAGTCAAGGGCATGTACCTTGGTTGCAGGGTCTTCCCTGCCCCAGCCCTGGCCTGTGCAAGAGGCAACCAATCAATGCATTTCTCTCACATCATTGTTTCTCTCCATCTTTCCCTCTCTTTTCCAGTCGTCTCTAAAAATCAATGGAAAATATCCTAAAGTGAGGATTAATAATAATAATAAATCAACAAAAACCTATTAAAAAAACACCACCCAAACTCTTAATTAAAAAAAAATTATGGTCATGGGCTCTCCTGAAATATGGTTTTAGTTATATCTGTAGTTTTTGATACACAATATTCTTATTGTTATTAATTTTAAAAAATAGCTTGGCTATTAAAAATGAAACTATGAGCATTTTTGTGCAGGTGTTTGTGTAGACATTTCAGTTCTCTGGATAAATGCCAGGAGTATTGCTGGGGGGATGGAAACTGTATGTCTGTTTGTGTTTTAAGAAACTTTTCAGAGTGGTTGAACCATTTCAATGTATGCTGCTGAGAGTCATCCACATCAAACTTGAATCGAATTGGTGACCTCTTAGTTCGATGCTCAACCATTGAGCAACACAGGCCAGGCCTATAATAGTTTTAAAATAGCTACTTAAAAGTTTACATCCTGCCCTAGCCCGTTTGGCTCAGTGTCAGCCTGTGACTGAAGGGTCCCAGGTTCGGTTCCAGTCAAGGGCATGTACTTTGGTTGCAAGCACATGGATGTTTGAGGCAGCTGACGGATGCTTCTCTCTCATAGATGTTTCTAGCTGTCTATCCCTCTCCCTTCCTCTCTGTAAAAAAATAAAATAAAATAAATGTATTTAAAAAAAAAAAAGTTTACATCCGCTCAGATTACATACATTTGAAAGAGATTTCTATGGCCCCTTCTGTAATCTTGAGCTGTTATTTTGGAGGATGATATGCATAGCACCTATCACCAGAGGGCGCTCTGTATACACTGCACCACCTGGCCCCTTCCCTCCTCTTCCCACTGAAGGTACAGTTTGTCTATTATAGTTTTAAGATTTATCATGGGGAAATATTTTATAATGTGTGGCAAAGAAGAGATATTTTTCTTTTGATTTACTTTGTTTTTGCTTTTTAAAAAAATGTTTTATTGATTTTTTTACAGAGCAGAAGAGAGAGGAATGGAGAGTTAGAAACATCAATGAGAGAGAATCATCGATAAGCTGCCTCTTGCACATCCCCTACTGGGGATGTACCCGCAACCAAGGTACATGCCCTAGACTGGAATCAAACCTGGGACCTTTCAGTCTGCAGGCCGATGCTCTATCCACTGAGCCAAACCGGTTTCGGCTTGTTCTTGCTTTTTAAAAAAATATATTTTTATTGATTTCAGAGAGGAAGGGGGGGGGAGAAAGAGAGAGAGAGAGAGATATTAATAATGATAGAGAATCACTGATCAGCTGCCTCTTGCACACCCCCTAATGGGGCTCTAACCTGCAACCTGGTGTACAGGATGATGCTCCAACCAACTGAGCCACACCAGCTGATTATACAGTATTTTTGTTGCTTAAAAAAAAATTCCAATAACAGAGAAACCTTATATTTGATAGGGTTTGCTGGCCTCCACCATCTTATGTACATTAGCTATCCATTGTATTAATCTTGGAATTATGTCTCCATTTCACTATGCTTTTCCTCCACTAAGGAAAGGTCACAGTGGGGCACCGTCTAGCTTTGTTCAGGCTTGAGGACCAGGCGTGGTGGGCTCTTGTGGGTGCTCCAGTGGCCCAGCTCACGTGTGGATGTCCTGCCCCTCCCCAGCCCGTGGCATACGGGTGGCGATGGTTGCTGGTAGGGGGAGACTGTCTCCATTCTTGTACTGCTTGTGCCAGCTCTGAGGAAACGGAAGCTCCCAGTAGGCCCGATTCCCGCTTTATTCCTTGAATTGACTGGGACGGCAGTTGGAAAAGGAGCCCTTGGTCCAAGAGACCTTCCAGGGACCCATTTTGATTTTCATTTTCACCTTGATGATAATTTGGGACATGCACGCTGTCATAGCAAACTAGAGTAACTGTTAGGGTTCACGGTGTGTGGAGTGATCATGTGTGCTTCTGAACGTTTCTCCCACGGGCAGTGCATTCTCTCTCTCTGGGAAGTTAGGGAGGGAACATGTCCCACCCTCACAATAGTTTCTCTACCCAGGGCCCAGTTTGGCCCTCGATCTGGATTGTACAAAGGAAGGTGTTTTCTTTCCACAGAGAATGGGACTAGACCCTTCCTTGGTCACCGGTGTGTCTCCAGGATCCACTGTGGTCCTCCGCGCCTTGCGAAGTTGGTAGGGATGATTTCTCGAGCTTGGTTCCTCCCCGCCTCGGCGTCTAAGGTTTCAGTTGGTGGACACCTCTCCTTTTTTCTGGAGCAGCCTGCAGCTCAGACCTGTGATGGGTCTCAAGAAGCTGGGTGAAGGTACCTGACGGGGTGCATGTAAGGATGACATCTACATCCTCTCAAGTCTTCGGATCCCAAACTGAACCTAGAGGCAGGGCCTGGAAAAGGACAGAGAATAAGGGCAGTGTCCAGAAAGCCTGCCCCCAACCTGAGGTCCACCTTAAGGCATGGGCCCACCTTCCACCCTCTTGCTGACATCTAATATGCTCGGGCGGGCGAGCTGTGAGGCAACCTGATGGGTGAGATACCTGAGGCTCAGCAGAGCCCAGGCTGGGTGCCAGGGACGCATCTTGGCCACCTCTTTGGTGCTAGGGAGAAGTCCCATGTCCCAGAAGAAGGAACGAATACATGTTGTGGGGGCCCTGCTCTGTTGCTTTTTCATGTCTGGGCCCCTCCTGGCACCTGTCTCAAGATTTACTCCTGAGATCAGCTTAAGTGAGATGCAGATGGAGGAGGCAAAGCTCTTTCCCTGAGAAACCAGGCCCAGAGGGGAGGCAAGCTACCTGCCAGCCGGAGCCTCTGCCTGCCGGCCTGGGAGGGGTCCGAGTCCCAGTACTGAATGTGGGAGTGGAGTGATTCAGCCAGGACAAGGGAAGGTTGAGGACTGAGACAGGACACCAGGTGTCAGGCTGATGGAGCCCACAGGACGGGGGGTCTCGGCTGGATGACGGGAGTAGGTAACGGGAGTTGCATCAGCCTGACTCAGGGCTCTCCAGGGCCTGGCGAGAGCAGCACGTGGGCAGTCAAGACACTGGAGGTGCAGAGGGCAGCTCGGGAGCTCTAGAAGGGCCGTGTGGGCTGTAATAATTCAGGCCAAATAAAGGGAAATACAACTTCTGGATTTTTAAAATTTAAATCATTTCCCCCCTCTTGACAACTTAGAAAATTGCTTTTGAAAACTGTTTCATATCTGCTGAACTCAGGCAAGAGAAAGTCCTAAGGCCGGCAGAGCAGAGGGTGCGGGGCCTCCTCCTGAGCCTCGAAGTGTCCTGGGAGAGAACAGTGCCAGCCCCCTCTGTGCACCTTGAAGTGCAGGGGTCGGAGGCTGCCCCTCTGGAGCAGCCTTAGCCTTCTCTGTGCTGATGGTGCTTGGTGTCAGGACCCACACCCTCCCTCCTTAGGCTGAGACCAGCCTGTGGCTTGGCACCAGGGCTATGGCCCAACCCCCACCCATCCCCCACTGGCCTCCAGTGGAATCGTCTTCTCGAGTTTCTGGTAATTTTATCAGGACAGCATCGTGTTGCTAAAACTACAGATAACATCTCCCTATGGTAACTGTTCCCCACTAGAGCCCCTTGAGGCTGGACCCAGGCTCAGAGGAGGGACACTGGGGTGTGGGATGTCTTTGGGGGCACGAGGGTCTACGAGGTAGAAGCAGGCTGACTGGGATGCTGGAACTGTATTGAGGTACGCTGCTTGCCATTAGAGCTTCTGGAACATGGGGTCTGGAGCTGGGTGGGGGGGCCTGCTAATCGCCTCCTGGTATCTCTAGCTGGGCCCTGCAGACAGGCCCTAAGCCCAGGTACCGGCACAGAGAGCCACCCCTCCCCAGTCCAGGTCCACCTTAACTGGGCGGGGCAACAGCTGATGCCATCTTCACGGAGGGCAGCCCCAGCCTGAGTGGAAGACTGGCTTTGGAGGCACTCACAGCTCCCAGCCTGCTCCCAGGCGGCCCAGCACCATGATCCAGGGCGCCCTAGAACCCGGTGGCCCCGGCTGGGGCTGGGACGGAGATGGAGACGATGACTGGGACAGTGCTATGCTCACCCTGTTGGCGCTGGCTGTCGTGGCTGCCACGGCCCTGGCCCTGCACTGGTTTGGCTCTGAGCAGGACCGGGAGGCAGCAGGACCAGCGTCCACTGGCCCCCAAGCCCAGCCTTCTCAGGCAGGAGGAGCTGGGCCAGCCCTGACCCCAAAGTCCAAGGTCAGTGGTGGCATCGAGGGACACAGCTCTGGGCAGGGGAAGCCAGAGCCTCCAGGACTGAGCCAGGGAACTCCAGCTACAAGTGCCCAGGACCACCAGCCCCACGAAAGTGAAGATCTGACTGCCACGGCCTCAGCCCCACCCAAGGCACCCAGCGAGGCGGCCAGCGGAGAGGCCTTGGGACAGCAGCATGGCAGTGCCACCTCTGAAGTCTCCCGAGGTGCAGGAAAGCAGCAGCCCAGGCCAGGTGCCACCCTCCTGGGTAGGAGCAAAGCAGGGGGAACACCTGCCCCTCTCCTGATACACTTCACTCCTCCGAGTCTGGACAGAGACGTGGAGGTGCAGGCGGAGGCAGGAGGCATCCCAGCCAAGGCGCCAGCTCACCAGGCCCCGGTCCACACGGTGGAACAGGACACCGGCTCCTGGAAACACGGAGCGGGGCCACCTGGCTCACTGGGGAGGCGGTCAGGCAGCCGGCGGAGGCAGGTGGATGACAGCCCAGGAGAGAGAACCCGGCGCCTCCCAAAGCTGGACCCCCTGCGCCTGGGAGCGGCGGTGAGTGTGTGGGACGCTGTGGATGCAGCCAGCACCTTCTCTGCAGGTGCCCAGAGGCCCCTTTACCGCCATGAGCTGCCCCCACCAGACTCGGTGCAGGCTGGACGCTTGACAGATGGCTCAGAGAGGGGGTGTGGGAGAAGCAGCCCCCAGTCAGACCAAGTTTTAGCTCTGGATTCAGGGACCAAAGCTGGTGAGAGCAAGGAGTCTCAGGGGTCCCCAGCCTCTGTGGAAGGCTGGCCTTGGGCAAAGAGGGAGGTCCTTGTCACCAAGAGCTTCAGCCAGACCCCAGGCTTCACAGGACCAAGGCCAGAGGGACAGCAGTGGGGACACCCACTCTTGTCTCAAGAGGGGACCACAGTGACCTGCACTATAGGAAAGGTTGGGGTGAATGGGTCTGGAGACCACTCTTTCTTCCGCTCAGACTCAGGCAGGATAGAAAAGCAAGGGACCCGCAGTGGACAGGTGGCTGGCTGGCTGGACACAGAGAAGCCAGCCACAGATGGCCTTGGTTGTGCCCCCTCTCCGCATCCCTCAGCCACACCCCGCCCACTCATGCCTAAGCCCCTCTCACCCTCAGCTTCCCTGACTGAAGCACATACCAACCAAGGTCTCTTACCTGCAGCCCAGACTCTTCCGATCGCCTCTCCTTCACACTCTTTGCCCCTTAGAGTTGATCAGGGTACTGCCAAGGATGAAAATATCAGAGTAGTGTCAGCCCCCATCTCAGCCCCTGCCCCATCCCCAGCTGCACTCCCAGCCCCAGGCCCAGCTACAGCTACAGTCCGAGCCCCTGCCCCAACCCCAGCCACAGCCCCAGCTGCAACCTCAATCCCAGCCCCAACCCCAGCCACAGCTACAGCCCGAGTCCCTGCCCATGCCCCTGCCCCAGCTGCACCGCCAGCCCCAGCCCCAATCCCAGCCACAGCTACAGCCCAAGCGCCTGCCCCAACCCCTGCCCCTGCCCCAGTCCCAGCTACTGCCCCAGCCCTAGCCGCACCCCAAGTCCCAGCTGCATCCACAGCAGTAGCTCCAACCGCTGCCCCAGCTCCAGCTCCAGCCCGAGCCCCTGCCCCAGCTGCAGCCACAGCTCCAGTTGCTGCTACATTCCCAGCCCCTACCTCAGCCCCAGCTGCAACCCTTGCCCCTGCCCCAGCAACTGCTGCAACTCTTGCCCCAGCTCCAACCCCAGCCCCTGCTCCAGTTGCAACCCCTGCCTCAGCCCCAGCTGCAATCCCTGCCCCAACCCCAACCCCTACCCCAGCCCCTGCTTCAGCTCCTGCCCCAACTGCAACCCCAGCCCCAGCCCCCGTGTCAGCTGCAACCCCAGCCCCAGCCCCCGTGTCAGCTGCAACCCCAGCCCCAGCCCCTGCCCCTGCTGCAACCCCAGCCCCAGTTGCAACTCCAGCCCCTGCCCCTTCCCCTGCTGCAACCCCTGCCCCAGCCCCAACCCCAGCCCCTGCCCCTGCGTCAGCTGCAACCCCAGCCCCAGCCCCAGCCCCTGCCCCTGCGTCAGCTGCAACCCCAGCCCCAGCCCCCGTGTCAGCTGCAACCCCAGCCCCAGCCCCAGCCCCTGCTGCAACCCCAGCCCCTGCCCCAGCCCCTGCGTCAGCTGCAACCCCAGCCCCAGCCCCTGCCCCTGCGTCAGCTGCAACCCCAGCCCCTGCCCCAGCCCCTGCCCCTGCGTCAGCTGCAACCCCAACCCCCGCCCCTGCTGCAACCCCAGCCCCTGCCCCAGTTGCAACTCCAGCCCCTGCCCCTTCCCCTACTGCAACCCCAGCCCCTGCCTCAGCCCCTGCCCTAGCCCCAACCCCTGCCCCAGCCCCAGCCCCTGCCCCAGCCCCAACCCCTGCCCCAGCCCCAAAGCCTGCCCCAGCCCCAGCCCCTGCTGCAACCCCAGCCCCTGCCCCAGTTGCAACCCCAACCCCTGCCCCAGCCCCAACCCCCACCCCAGCCCCTGCCTCTGCTGCAACCCCAGCCCCAGCCCCAACCCAAGCCCCAATCCCTGCACAAGCCCAAGCTCCTGCCCCAGCCTCAGCTCCAGTCTCAGTCCCCACAAGTAAGTCAAGGCCTGCAAGTCAGGAGCCTAGTATGACTCTTCGCAAAGGCAACCAGGAGGGGCAGATCTCAACCAGCTGGGGAAATCTTATTTCAATGGTTCTTAGGAGTCACCCCTTCCCCCGGCAAGAGAGGCCCCAAGGGACAGACCTAAGGGCAGCTTCGGAAAGCCAGAGAGAGCCCAGCACTTCCACAGCCTCGGAGAACAGGGAGTCTGATTCTCTCCCCGAAGGAGCCATTCCTAGTCTCAAGGACATGCACGGCTCCCCAGCTGGGGCGGCCACAGGGACAGGCACAGGGGGCCTGGCTGAGGCAGGATGTCAGCCGCAGCACAGAAGTTCTGAGGCTAACGAGGCTGCGGTGCCCGGGGCCCCAGCTCCTCTGTCAGAACAGAGGAAGCCTGGCCCTGCACCCTCTCCCTCTGCCAGGCGGGAGCCACAGCCTGTCCCCAGGCCACGGAAACACAGCATGTGTGAGCTAGCCAAGAGCTCTGAGCTGAAGGCCAGCCAGGTGGCCCCAGCAGAAGCCCCAGGGAAGAAGCCCAGCCCTGTAGGCAGCAGGGAGGTCCTCACAGAGGAGCAGAAAGAGGCCCGCAAACTCATGGTGTTTCTGCAGAGGCCTGGGACCTGGGGGGTGGTGGAGGGGCCCCGGAAGCCCAGCTCCCCTGCCCGGGAGCCGGCTTTGGCAGCAGCTCTGCAGCGGCGGCTGGACCTGGGCAGCTGCCTGGACGTCCTGGCCTTTGCCCAGCAGCACGGGCAGCCTGTCCTGGCCCATGAGACCTATGCTTTGATGAGCGACAATCTGCTGCACGTGCTGGGAGACCCGAACCTCTACCGGCAGCTGAGTGGGGCTGACCGGGAGCGCATCCTGAGCCTTCGAACTAGCAGGGGCCAGGCTGTGCTGGGGGTCCTCGTGCTGCCCAGCCTCTACCAGGTGAGCCGCTCAGGGCTCACCAGAGGCCCTCGAGTGGAGGAGGCTGCTGCCACAGGTGCTGTGCCCCTGCCTCTCCCATCGCACCTGCACGTGTTCAACCTCCAAGAGAACACCTGGCGGCTCCTGACCCAGGTGCCAGAAGAGGCCCCGCTGCGGGGCTGTGGCCTTTGCACCATGCACAACTACTTGTTCCTGGCAGGGGGCATCCGTGGCTCGGGCACCAAGGCCACCTGTTCCAATGAGGTCTTCTGCTACAACCCTATGACCAACATCTGGAGCCAGGTGCGGCCCATGCAGCAGGCCCGTGCCCAGCTCAAACTGGTGGCCCTGGACGGGCTGCTCTACGCCATCGGTGGCGAGTGCTTGTACAGCATGGAGTGCTACGACCCCCGCACAGACACCTGGACCTCACGGGCGCCCCTCCCCGCGGGCACCTTCCCTGTGGCTCACGAGGCCGTGGCCTGCCGTGGGGACATCTATGTCACCGGGGGCCACCTCTTCTACCGCCTGCTCAGGTACAGCCCGGCGAAGGATGCTTGGGAGGAGTGCCCCTACAGCGCCAGCCACCGGCGTTCCAGCGACATGGTGGCACTGGGCGGCTTCCTGTACCGCTTTGACCTGCTGCGGGGCGTGGGTGCCGCTGTAATGCGCTACAACACCGTGACGGGCTCGTGGAGCCGGGCCGCCCCCCTGCCCCTGCCGGGCCCTGTCCCGCTGCGCTGCACCGTGCTGGGCAACACCATCTACTGCCTCAACCACCAGGTTACGGCCACCTTCACAGTCTCCGAGGGGACTGCCCAGTTCCAGGCCAAGGAGCTGCAGCCTTTCCCCCTGGGGAGTAAAGGGGTCCTCTGCCCCTTCATCCTGACTCTGCCCCACTCGGCCCCGCTACAGACTTCCCTCTGAGCTGCACCAGGACTGCCGTGCCCGCTTCAGGCAGACCCTGGGCCAGGCTGTGAGGCGGGTGGGGCCGGGGAGGCGGCTGCTCTTCTTTCTGGGACAACTTTCCTTTTCTGTTACAACAAGCCTCCTGACTGGCCCTCCTTCCCCTCCTGCAAGTCAGGCTCCCAGCACCTGGGAGTCGGTGGTGTGAGTCCCTGCCCACCCATGTGCCTCCTGCTTTGATGATTGAGTCCTTGCTCCAGTGCCTCAGCTTGCTCTCAGGAACCCTCCTGGGTGCGAAGGACTCCCGCAGGCCAGGTCCCCATCACAGCACCAACCACACTGTCTGGAAATAATCTGCCAGAGACCCCGGGCTCCCCAAGAACCTGGGCTTGGCTGGCTGAGGGGTCGGCATTGCTGAGCCCAGGAAGGAGATGGCTTCTCTCGGGCTTCAAGCTAGGCAAGGGGCCCAGGAGGGGCTAAAGAGGGGACAGGGAGCAAGTAAGTTCCCAGGAAAACGTCCTTGCCTCAGGATGCCCTTCCCGCCTGCAGCCTTGGGGAACCTGGCTTGGCTGACCTCAGAAACAACTCTTAAGTCCCCTTTGTCTGAAATCCTTGCCTGTGACACTGCTTTGTTGTCTAGAGCCCCTGCCCATAACCCCAGCCTAGACCAGGACTGCTGGGGCTCATGTCCCTCTGCAGCTTGTGGGATCTCTCCCACCGGCTCAGCCCCTCCGTTTCCCACCCTACTTCCCACTAACCTTCTTCTTACATGAGACCTGGGCGCACCCCAGCTCTGCCCCTTATTAGCTGTGGGTCTTGGGCGAGACATTGTCTTCTCACCTGTGAAGTGGGGATAATGAACATGCCACTCAGGGGAATTCTGAGAACATAGGTCACATACAGGAGCACCTGGCACAGCCCACTGTGGAACCCTCCACAGGAAGGAAAATAAATCTGAATACGGCAGCCCGTCCCATCCTCTGACCTGGCCCTTTTTGCTTTTTATTCTATGCTTGTCACTACATATGCTTAATTCATTGGCAGCTTATCCATCTTACACTTCCCATGTTTTGTTCACAAGGTTTCACATTAAGCTGGGTCAGGGGTGGGATGATGGGACCGGGGAGAAAGAAGTCTTCAGGATGTGCTTGAAAATAAGTTTATTGAGAAACAGGTGCAATGCATGCAACTGTGTGTTTGGGTCACTGTTTCTTTGCCAGGCAGAGAAGGCTCCACCCGCCATGGCTCTGCACACAGACAGACCCGGCGTGGCGGCTGCGGGGTAGGGTTGGAGGCCTACTGGGTGCGCTTGGTCTCACTGAGCAGCTCTTGCCAGTTCTTCTCCATCTCTTCCTTGCAATTGAGAAAGGCGTCCTCCAGCCGGCGCATGGACTCTGCCAGGGTGGGGTTGGTGCGTATCACCACCATGTCGTAGGCCATCCATGTGGCCTGCACTGCAACAGACAGACAGGCCCGGTCAGGCCACAGGATGGGGCTGTGGTGCCGGAGCACCCCAGGGACCATTCCAGGATGAGTGACCTAACTATTCTAAGGAAAGGAAGCTGGGCAGCCACTAGATACAGGGCTCATTCTCTCCCCCCACCCCCCACATTAAAACTAATCCCTTCACAGAGCAGTAATGAAACTTCCTAATCTCACACAAGTCTTAACTTGTGAATATAGCAGCCATGACACTAAAAGGCTGCAAGCCAATCGGATATGAAATGCTAGGAAAAACGAAAGCAAACCCAGATCCTTACCTAGCCACCGTCACAGCTAGTGCTGCAGGGTGACCCTTAAGAAGTCTTAACACTCACCAAGCTCACAGGCTCAGGGAGGGCTGACTCCCACTCCTACAAGGCCCTGAGTCTCATGTCCCCTCGTGCTCAGTGGCCTGGATGCCTGTTCACCTCCAACCAGGCCTCTGTGCTTTAATTAAGGCCAGTTCAGAGCTTCTCCCTCTGGGAAGGTTTGCTGCACCCCACATTAGGTGTCCTCTGGTGCTCACACTGCACTGACCAGCTTCCTTGCCCTTTCCGTTAAGAGCAACTTGAGGGCAGTGTCCCCTGGGTGTACAGTGAACATGTGCTGCTTGTACAGAAATCCCACCCCTTTTCTCTGTAGTACCACCCCATTGGTATGGCTCTGTCCGAGAACCATAAAGAACAAGGGTCCTAGCGCTTCTGCATGACAGGAAGTGTTGTTAGAAAAGGTATGTGCAGTATCTCATGATGGCTATGACTGCACAGCAAGTGCAGGAATTCTTGAACTTTTGGAAGCATGTGAGTTCCTGGGGACACCTGTTAAGATGTAGACTGCTGGCCCCTCCTACAACTCAAAGCTTGTCTAGCAAGTTGGGAATGGTTCCCCGGGACCTGCATCTTAACAAGCATCTGGATAATTGTGGGGTGGTGGGTGGGTGGGCAGAGAGGCTGCTGACCATTTTTTTTCAGACCAACTGGACAGCAGGTGGAACATGGACTGGGAGTCAGAGTTTTATTCCACCTCTCCACTTGCTGGCTGTGGAACCTACAAGTGACTTAAACTTGCTCACTTCAGCCTTCTCATCTGTAAGGGCCAGACAATGTCCCAATCGCATGGCTCCCTTGAAGATTAAGTAAACTGCCTGGCACATATGAGGTGCTCAAGAAAGAACCTTTTACTATAAAATAAACAATCGAGGTAGTTAGGGCAAAGAGGGTAGGTAAGAAATTAAAATTCAAGAGAAAAAATTGCTCACAGGAATTAATCTCATATAATCCCATAATGCAGCTGGAATTCCAGCTCTGAGTTTCCTAAGGCCAAAGCAGAAAAGGAAACATGATCAGTTACAAGACTCAGTGACCATAAAATAAAAACAGCTGAAACTGGTTTGGCTCAATGGATAGAGTGTTAGCCTGTGGACTGAAAGGTTCAAAATTAGATTTTGGTCAAGGGCATGTACCTTGCTTGCGGGCACATCCCCAGTAGAGGTTGTGCAAGAGGCAGCTGTAGGGGGTGTGCAAGAGGCATTATGGATGTTTCTAACTCTCTATTCCTCTCTGTGGAAAATCAATAAAATATATTAAAAAATACACCAAACAAACAAACAAACAAAAAACCAAACTCACTGTTTAAGAATCTTTTATCCTAAGAATCTAAACTGTCCTATAGGTATATTATATGAGAAGTATAAAATAGTTGAAAATTCCCTTGATGACATCCTACCTTAAACACAAAGCATTCTTCCATGACTACAATTGTAATCACAGGTGAAAGAAGGCTGGTGGCATAGTACCAAAGCACAGTTCAGAAAAGGCACTTCAATGAGACACCAAAACACCACAGCAAATGCACAGCCCTCTTCTGATTTGATCAAAGAAAAAGTATATAGAGCTGAAACTGGTTTGGCTCAGCGGTAGAGCGTCGGTCTGTGGACCGAAAGGTCCCAGGTTCAATTCCAGTCAAGGGCATGTATGTTGGCTGTGGGCACATCCCCGGTAGGGGGTGTGTAAGAGGCAGCTGGTCGATGTTTCTCTCTCATCGACGTTTCTAGCTCTCTAACTCTCTCTCTTCCTCTCTGCAAAAAATCAATAATATATAAAAAAGAAAAAGAAAAAGTATATAGAATACATAGAACAGGAAGGACTCAATCACCAGAACACTCTCCAGCAATACACATCGCAAGTTTTCATTATTTATTGAGTATCCCCTTTATGCTGGCATTTTACCAGGCAGCCCTGGTGATAAAGCCGTACACAGAACAGACACTTTCTACCTTCATGCAGTATCTATACTAGTTGCAGTGGGAGGAGGCAGATAAACATACAATTTCGAATTGTGAAAGGTGCTGTGAAGGAAATAAGTAGTATGTGTTGTGATAGAGAAATGGGGTAGGAGGAGTCATATTACAGACGAGGTAGTGAAGGCAGGCCCCCTCTGGGGATTTTTGGTAAGGAACTGTGCAGTAGCAAAGTCAAGGTCATAATCAGTGGAGAGGCCTGAACAGCAGGTATTCTGAGAGGCTAATCAGAACTTGCCTGTACACTTTGAAAACCCACTGGGAAAAGCCAAGGTCCTTGCATGTAAATTAAGAAATAATGGTCAAGTTGTATACTATGAACTCCAAGGACCAAGAACTGGTCCTGGTGGCTACCTGGGCAAAAGATCCAAACCAAAAAAACAAAAAACAGAGCCTAGCAGCCATTTCTGCATAGAATTCTGCACAGAAGGGTTCTCAAGTCAAGGTGAAGCCTCTGCACTGGACTGCCTGCCTGCACTGTGTTGTTGCTAGCTGAGCCAGCCCTTACAGAGGAGTTCCTGAAATCCTATTTCAACCATTAGGACTGAGACTTTTCTCATCCAGAAAGAGCTGTGCAGTTCAGACCAATTAGAGTAGCTCTATTCTGACCAATCGGGGACGAGGGGCTGGGACTTCTGTCTATATAAGCCAACTCTTGGCTCACCAAAGATTGCCGCTGAACACCACCTCACAGCAGAAGAGGGACCTGGCCCAGGGCAGCTGTGATGCAGTACTGTGGAGCTGTTCCCCAGCAGTGCTGCTTTCATAGATATGCTGTATTTCTGTGGAGCTGCTTGCACCAAAGAAAGTTTCCTTCTTCACTCCAAATTGGGGATTCCTGTTAGCGTTTGAACTGGCACCAATGACCATTGGTGGACAGATCCTAGATGCATAATTTAGTAAAGGATGAGGATAGTGTCCCAAAAATCTGTTTAGGAGAGAAGAGAACTAGCTAGTGATGCAGTCAGTGGATTTGCTTTGGGAGCCTGGAAAGTAGAATTGGAAGAGAGAGCACAGGGAATGAGACAAGAGGGCTAGCTGACCAGGAGATAGGATAATGATAAGCCTGGAGGTTACAGGCCATAGGCTAATTCAAATAATTGGCAAAATAAACCAAGAAATGTGTTAAAATATAAATGGGTGAAATTCTACCAAATTTGGAAAGAACAATTAATGCTTATCCCTATACTAGGATTCATGCACTGGAACGGGGGGGGGGGGTGTCCCTCAGACCTGCCTGCCCCCTCTCACAGTTTGGGAGCCCTCAGGGGCAGGAGGCGACCTGGAGAACAGGGGAAGACAATGCCCCCATCACACTTCTGCTGCTGCCACTGCCGGTAGCGCAAGCCTCAGCCGGCCCTGGTTACCTGCTCCTCGGATGGCCCTGGGTGGCTGGGAGGCTGAGGGGACTGGGGGATTCTGGAGGCAGGCGCACGGAGCGGTTGGATCCAGCGGGGCTGAGGAGACTGTGTGTACCGCCATCTTTGAGGGTGTGGAAGTCAATTAGCATATTCCCTCTTTATTGGCTGTGGGTGCTGCCATCTTTGTAATGGTGTGATGGTCAATTAGTATATCCCCTCTTTATTAGATATAATAAAAGCCTAATATGCAAATAGAACTGTGGAATGACCGGAGGAATGACTGGTTGCTATGATGCCCACTCACCACCAGGGGGCAGATGCTCAATGCAGGATATGCCCACAGCCTGCAGGCCCCAGGCCAGCCAAGGCAGGTGCCAATAGGAACCCCCGGATCAACCGGATGGTTGCCCCACAGATTGGCCCTAATTGCCAGCCAGGCCCAGGGACCCTACCCATGCACAAATTTCGTACACTGGGCCTCTAGTCTGATATAAGTAATTTTAAAAATTAGGAAAAGAAGGAAGACTAATAATCTCACTATATGGGCTGGTGTAATTTTTTAAGAAAAGCATTTTCTAGTGGCATCCCACTTATATTGCAGGAAATTTGAGAATAGAAATAAGAAAAAATCCTATATAACAAAAGCCTAATATACTAAGTGCCCGACCATCCGTTTGACTGTTTGACCAGTCGAATTATGATATGTACTGACCACCGGGGACAGAGGCTCCAACTGGTAGTTTAGCTTGCTGATGGAGTCTAGCTGATTAGGACTATGTGAGAGAGGCTGGACTTGCCCTGGAGCTGCCCTCCCTAGTTTCTAAAATATTTCTTCTAATTCATTTCCTTTCAATGTGCATGAATCCATGCACTAAGCCTCTAGTAAATACATAGTTTTCTCTAAACTGGTTTATTCCAAAACCAAAGACAACATGAGAAAAATTATATCTATCTCACATGAATATCATAAATATAACATGAGCTAATGAAATCTAACTGTGTTAAGATAATATGTTATGATTATGCAGCGTTTGTGAAAGAAATTCAAGGATGCTTAGATATCAGAAATTCAAGCACTATAATTAACCACATTTATATAAAAAAGGAAATAATAGAAATATCTCAATGCAAAAAAGATAGGTAGTAAAGTTTAATACCTTAAGGAGACATCTTTAACTTACTAAAGGTGACATACCAAAAACTTATAGCAAACATCATTCGTAATGGAGAAACTGGATACATTCCCTATAAGACTGGCATCAAACAAGGGTGCTTCTAATAATAGTAGAGGCCCAGTGCACAAAATTCATGT